TTACACACAAACGCTTTTTACACATAGGCTCTTTTACACACAGACGCTTTTACACACAGACGCTTTTACACACAAAGCCTTTTACACACAGACGCTTTTACACACAGACGCTTTTACACACAGACGCTTTTACACACAGACACTTTTACACACAAACGCTTTTACACACAGACGCTTGGACACACAGACGCTTTTACACACAGACGCTTTTACACACAGACGCTTTTACACACAGACGCTTTTACACACAGACGCTTTTACACACAGACGCTTTTACACACAGACGAAAGGGTTGCTCCGGCACAGGAAAAATCGCAATTTTACCTCAGTTTCTACCGATCGACCCTCATTTCGTGCGAAAGGGTTGCTCCGGCACAAGTCAAATCGCAATTTTACCTCAGTTTTTGCCGATCGACCCGCATTTCGTGCGAAAGGGTTGCTCCGGGGCAAGTAAAATCGCAATTTTTCCTCAGTTTTTGCCGATCGACCTTCATTTCGTGCGAAAGGGTTGCTCCGGGGCAAGTCAAATCGTGCCGATATCGACCCTCATTTCGTGCGAAAGGGTTGCTCCGGGGCAAGTAAAATCGCAATTTTACCTCAGTTTTTGCCGATCGACCCTCATTTCGTGCGAAAGGGTTGCTCCAGGGCAAGTCAAATCGCAATTTTACCTCAGTTTTTGCCGATCGACCCTCATTTCGTGCGAAAGGGTTGCTCCGGGGCAAGTAAAATCGCAATTTTTCATCAGTTTTTGACGATCGACCCTCATTTCGTGCGAAAGAGTTGCTTTAGCACAAGTAAAATCGCAAATTTACCTCAGTTTTTGCCGATCGACCCTCATTTCGTGCGAAAGGGTTGCTCCGGCACAAGTCAAATCGCAAATCGCAATTTTTCCTCAGTTTTTGACGATCGACCCTCATTTCGTGCGAAAGGGTTGCTTTAGCACAAGTAAAATCGCAAATTTACGTCAGTTTTTGCCGATCGACCCTCATTTCGTGCGAAACGGTTGCTCCGGCACAAGTCAAATCGCAAATCGCAATTTTTCCTCAGTTTTTGCCGATCGACCCTCATTTCGTGCGAAAGGGTTGCTCCAGGACAAGTCAAATCGCAATTTTACTTCAGTTTTTGCCGATCGACCCTCATTTCGTGCGAAAGGGTTGACGTTTCGTGACTCGCCGCCGGCACCACCCTCGGCCTTAAGAGAGAAAGATAAAGAAGGCGAGAGAGAGAGAAAAGAGAGAGAGATGTGAGAGAAGATGTGAAGATGAGCAGATGTGAAGATGAGCAGATGTGAAGATGAGAAGATGTGAGAGAAGGTGTGAAGATGAGCAGATGTGAAGATGAGCAGATGTGAAGATGAGCAGATATGAAGATGAGCAGATGTGAAGATGAGAAGATGTGAAGATAAGAAGATGTGAAGATGAGCAGATGTGAAGATGAGCAGATGTAAAGATGAGCAGATGTGAAGATGAGCAGATGTGAAGATGAGAAGATGTGAAGATGGGAAGGTGTGAAGATGAGCAGATGTGAAGATGGGAAGGTGTGAAGATGAGCAGATGTGAAGATGGGAAGGTGTGAAGATGAGCAGATGTGAAGATGGGAAGGTGTGAAGATGAGCAGATGTGAAGATGAGCAGATGTGAAGATGAGAAGATGTGAAGATGGGAAGGTGTGAAGATGAGCAGATGTGAAGATGGGAAGGTGTGAAGATGAGCAGATGTGAAGATGAGAGGATGTGAAGATGAGCAGATGTGAAGATGAGAGGATGCGAAGATGAGAGGATGTAAAGATGAAAAGATGTGAAGATGAGAGGATGTGAAGATGAGATGTGAAGATGAGAGGATGCGAAGATGAGAGGATGTGAAGATGAGAGGATGTGAAGATGAAAAGATGTGAAGATGATGAGAAGATGTGAAGATGAGAGAATGTGAAGATGAGATGTGAAGATGAGAAGATGTTTTACAGACCCCCACTATTGGAAGAACCCTGCGCTCAGACGCTCTCGGGAAAAATCCCAAAGCTGCGTACGCCAGATTTAAGGCTCATTTAGGGTTAGTTTGATAACGGGTCATTTCCGGTGCGTTTGGTGCTTATCTAGTTTTAGCGCTTGTTTGAGAATGTTTGAACTGGCTTTCATTTCGTTTCTGGTATTTCTTTCGGGTTGGTTTGGGGTTTATTTGGGATTGGTTTAGGTCTTGTTTAGGGTTGGTTGGAAATTTGTTAGGGGCGGGCTTCCGGTTGATTTAGGGTGTGTTTTTTGGGATAGGTTTGAAACTTATTTGGGGTTTGTTTGGGGTTTATTTGCTGTAAGTTTATGTGTTATTCAGGTTTTGGACAGGAAGCTTGTTTAAGATCTTTTGTGTGTTTATGTAAGTTTGGTTTGAAATTTATTCCATGTTGCTTTTAAGATTTAAGGTATTTTGGGTTTCTATTTGCGGCTGGTTTAAAATGTTTATCTAAGGTTGGTTTAGAATGTTGATTCAAGGTTGGTTTAGGGTTTAGGTTGATTTCGGGTTGCTTTATAGGGTGCTTATTTATTAAGGTTTGGAGTAAACTTGTCGAGGGATTTGTGTGGTTAATTTAGAATTAGTTTCTTGATGATATAAATTTGCTACGGTTTATATTAAGTTTGGTTTGTGCTGTTTCTTTTGGGTACCTTCTAAGTTTATTTTGGGTCTGTTTAGGGGTCTATTTAAAGTTGGTTTATATGCAGGGTTGTTTGGGACTGGTAATTAATGTTTTTTTCTAGATTGGTTTGAAGATTCAGGCGTTTCTTCAAGTTTCGTTACTGTTTTTAGGTGTGTAGGGTCTTAATTTCAGGTTGGCTTCACGGTTGGTTAAGGGCTTGCCTGGGTTGGCTTGAGGTTGAATTTAGGGTTTGTTTTAAGGTTGTTGTTTTCCATAGGTTTATGTTTGGTGTTACCCTTGTGTAGGTTTGTGGTTTATTTAGGTTTGGTTTCAGTTTACGATGTTTGTTTGGGGTTAGTGGTATTTTGAAATTGAAAGTGCGTTTTTGGGTGTGGTTGCTTTAAGGTGTTTGTTGAGGGTTGTTTCAAAGGGTTTCTTGCGGGTTGGCTTAAAGTTATTTAAGTTTAGTTTAGGTTTACTTCGCTTTAAGGTGCTTGTTTGGGGCTGGTTTGAAATTATTTAAGGCTTGCTTGTGGTTTATTTAGAGTTTTAGCGTTTTTTTTTTTATCGGGGCTTCTCAGATTGGTTTATTGATTATTGAGTCTTGGTAAGGTCTATCTATGTTTTGTTTCCTGTTTCCTACAGGTACGTTCAGGTTTTGTTTAGGGTCTATTTAAGGTTTGTTTACGGGGTTGTTCGGGGCTGGTTTAAAGTTTATTGAGACTTGGTTTCAACATTTCAGATGGCTTAGAGGGTTTATTCAGGGCAGGTTCAGGGTGTTTATTTTTGGGTTGGATTATGCTTGCTGGCTGGCTGTCCTCCCTCCCCTCCCTTGCTTGCTGTCCTTGCTTGCCTGCTGGCTGGCTTGCTTGGTGGCTGGCTGTGGCTGTCACCCTCCATCCCTTGCTTGCTTGCTGGCTGGCTTGCTTGCTCCCTTCCCTGCCGCAGTACCTTTTAGGATAGGTCGGTTTCTGAAAAAAAACTCCCGGGGGAATCTGAAAAAATCGCGGGAAAAATATGTAGCCTTTGTTTGTACTCTACTGTACGTGTGGTGCAGTCCTGAAGTGATAGTTCCCTTCCAAAAGCCCTTCCTCAAGTTCAACAGTACGTACATGCGACAACCGGTCAATCTCTGGTCACACTCGTTGAGACTTAAGAATCACTGGCTAGCCTACTGAAACGGAGCATGGATCCTCAAAACGGTTTTGTACTTGATGTACTTGGAACATGATTTCCAATTGAAAACTGAGTTTTCCTGCAAGGAGTTGCTCACGAGGTAGGACATGCTTACAAAATGGCTTACGCCATATATCTATCACCAAAATACTTGCGCCAACTTATACAAACCAGGGCCTTGCTTACACCGGATAACCATTTGACGTGACTTGTACTAAAGACCGCACCTTGCCGAAAATCTGGCAGGTCCAGAATGCGAGAACACCAGCAGTCCAGTGACTTGTCCAAGCCCAGCAACCTGCTGATTACTAAGATTGCTGAAACACGGCACAGCTGGGGAGTTTTTAGACCGCAAAATTTGTGAGTTTCCCAAGAAGAGTTTGAGCCACAGGCACATGATGCTCATTTCATATACTATGGGATGCTATGGGTAGCTATGTTTTTTTTCCAACATGATAAATGGTTTACATTTACACCCGTGCTAACTATAACATCGTGGCCGACAGTTGTGCCATATCCAGTACTCAACTGATTTTGGGGACACCATCTTTCAATGTTGCATGCTAAATTTAGGGGCTGTAAACCAACAACTGTTATTATATATCATTTTTCATTTAGTCTTATTTGCTATCAGAAATGCCATTAATATTTTTACATATTATGTTAGCAATGTTATTATATGTAAAAATAGTCCTATTGACCTCTTATTACGATTTCACCAAACTTTCAGCCACCAATGAAGCAGTGGTATCCCATAGATATTCCAGTCACTGGCTATTGGCCCTGAAAAAGAAGCACGATGTCACCGGGGATCACTTTGTCCAGTCGTAGGGATGGAACATCAACGCATGTGGGGTCGCTATCCACGCTTGGGGTTAAGGGGGAAAATATCCAGGAAATCTCGGCTTTTACCCTGTCAATCTAGGGGTTTCCTGCGGCATTTTACCAGCATCCAATTCTTGGATATGAAGTCACTGACTGGGCAAATAAATAGAGAGCTCATCATGTTGGATTGACATTTTATGGGCGTTGGCAAAAAGCGATGCAACACATTGGATGGTTTGCCCATCGAAATGACCAATGTCTGCAGGTTCCATGGCCCGACAAAAAAAATGTTTCGATGTACTTTGACCACCCACGGAGCATCAAATCATCATCCTGTCAGTGAAATACAAAGAAATATGAGCAACCAAAAGAGAAGCCATGGCTTGGGGGTGGTTCCACCTGGCCAATACAAACAATGCTGAGGCCTGGGGGGTCGCCATCACCCATATTCATCCACTCAAATTTGGCACTTTTGACCTTTAATATCGTGATTGATACCCTCTGGTGTCATCAACCATGCTTTGGTGGAAAACCTCCCATTTAGTACCATGCTTTCCCATTCAAACCTGCATTTAGTTCGGGGATTTCCTTGCTAGGCTCGGCTAGGCTAGCCATGTTGGATTACCAAAGAGTAACCCAATCTTTGATGCCCTACCCTCCTCCGGGTCCATTTCAAGCAGCAAATGTGACTGGGCGTAGGCGGCCGCTGTGACCAATGCAGAAGACGCACAGTAGGTGAGCAACGACAAAACGTCCATGCTGTTCAGCATCATCTGGCGACAACCCTGCTTTTTGGCCCAGAAACAACTTTTAAACATGAGAATCCGAAATCCCAGTTGAATTCAGCTTTCAAACCGATTGGCTGACTAAGGGAACCTCCCGTGGCAAATCTTTATAAACACATATCGTGCAAAAATGGCCGTGCAGTAGGTGGCCATTATATTTCCATCTCTCTCTCTCTCTCTCTCTCTCTCCCCATCACCATCTCCAGGAGTCTCATTACATTTCCACACGGTTTCGATTGATCTGGGCAAATTATAGTAAATATTTTCCACAGCTCAAATAAGTCTATTTGGAGTGTGTCCCCTACGGCTATCATTGAAGTCATTTTACTTTACCCAAATTTAAAGCTTGACATGGCCACTTCTTATATTCACAAACAGCGCTTAATAGATAGATAGATAGATAGGATAGGATAGGATAGGATAAGATAAGATAAGGTAAGATAAGGTAAGATAGATAGATAGGTAGATAGAAAGATAGATAGATAGCCAAATAGATAGATAGACAGACAGGATAGGATAGGATAGGATAAGATAAGATAAGATTAGATTAGAGTAGATGTAGATGTAGATGATTAGATTACAGTAGATGAAAATTAGATTAGATTAGATAGATAGCAGATCAAGTAGCCGATAGATAGATATATCACTAGTTCTGGCAAGAAACTTAATTAAACCCAATTAATTAAGATGAATTGACTAACTACTTACCCTTCAGGCCCTTCAGCAAGGTTTACCCAGTAAAAGTAGGTAGAAGTGGGCGACTAACATCCAAGGCTTAGGCAGCAAACAAGGGCCCATTAATCTATGACCAGTGGGTTTCCCCCTGCCTCATGAGTCAAGTCGAAGACGAAGCTGTTGGAATTCAGGCGATGCAAGGTGCCCAAGCAGCGTGTAGTGACCAAGCTCAGGACCATCATTAGCCAAACACCAGCGTATTTGCAGCCTTCTTTGCCAGAGACCTCAGAGTCTGACTTTTGAAATATTGTGGATTGGAATTGGCTTGAAATATGGACAAAATATATACACCTTTCTCAATATCCTCAAAAGAAAGTGTCCATGGAATAAAGGATTCTTCTCTCACCCAGAGGATTCCTGCGGACGTGTTCAACAACATATTGTTTGATCAACACCATCATTGTGCCCCCCTTTGCCGATAGGGTTTGTCCATCTCGCTGATGAAAATCACCGAGGAGATCTCATAGCTGATCTTAAGACCTGTTTACCCTGCCTGTGAATTATGGGCCTCGATATTTATAGATTAAACAAAGAAAAGGCGAGCCCCTGGCAATATAGCCATGGAAAACGACGAAAAACAGCAATGTTTACCAGACAATCATCTACAAATTACATAGCTATGGAAAATCATCATCTTTAATAAGTAAATCATCTATACATGGGACATGGCTTCCATAGCTAGCTCTTGGTTTACTGGGGGTAAATGACCAGAAGGTAATAAGCTGCCGATCAAGACCTTCGGCAACCATCCCTGTCTGCAAAAGCAGTGAATTTCTGGCTGGGTAAACAATGAACACGCTGTTTTGAGTTTTGAGCATCAACATGTAATACTTCTCATCGTAGGATAAGTTGCCAATGATTCCTTTTCATGGTTATTGAATGTTATTGATGGTTGTTGATGTATCCTCATCAAGTTGGCAAACATACACAAACAATTTGCCTACCAGTCATACATATCTCCATGATTGGCTAAGTTGGTTAGCATCCCCTTCGTTCATTGGTTAATTTCAACTTGTTTATGCTCAAATCCCGATTCAGATAGTCAAAACCAATTTGCTTTCTGATTAAAGTAAATTCCCAATCTTTGTTGAGTATTGGTGGTCTGTCCCCATGCAGGTTATCCCCAAAAAGTCCCATGGTTTAGCATCACTTCCCACATCAACTTTCCATATTAGTTTGAAATCTACAACTCTTGTTGATTCTTGGTGGCTAATATCATGTTTTGCTGGTTGTTCAAACCGTTAGCCCCAAGTATCCCATTAGTGTCTACTACCATCCACGCATATTCCAGCTTTCTGGCTTGTTTAACATACATTCTGGATAAATTATGGTAACTCCCTGGCCTAGAATAAGGATCAATGAGGTCATTTGGGGATGATTCCCCCAATCATAACCATCATTGCAGATTATCCCCATCATCCTCATTCTACCACAATTCTTTTGATTATATAAGTCATGTTGAGTCTACATTTTTCATGAATTACACTCACCATTCATACCATTTGAATATCAAGGCCGTTCAATGCTTGAAAAATGATAATGCATGGATGTTTTCATATTTGAATCAATAGATTATAATTTACCCAAACCAGATTCAAGGCGATTCCAGGATTACTCCCCAGCCGTTCACGGTGAGGTCGGCTAGGGGGATCCTTCGCTTTTTATCCCATGAGCCACCATCAATACAAGGGGGTGCCCCAAATCGTTAGATACCCTCTGGTAATCAAACGTGGCAATGGAAAATCCTCCAAATTGCAGGTCTTAATGAGAACATTACCTATAAATGGTGGATTTTAAATTGGTATGTTTGATTACCGGAAGGTAGGTTAGTTTAGAACGGATGCATCTATAGTTTATTTTGCGTTAGAAACCAACTTACCAGTAGTACCCGCACGAGGCGGGGCGGAAGTTGCCTTAAAGATATATATAAGACCTTTCTCATCTATAGAACTTGCATGCGCCGTGCGCCAGCCAAGCCCGTGCGTGCGTGCACTCTGCGAAAGTGGTGTCCTGTTTAACATTTGAAGCTCCACTTCGCACTTCACGCTTCACACTCCACACTCCACACTCCACACTCCACACTTCACACTCCACACTTCACACTCCACACTCCACACTCCACACTTCACACTGCACGCTTCCCACTGCACACTCCACACTTCACACTTCACAGTCCACACTTCACACTTCACACTCCACACTTCACACTTCACACTGCACTCTTCACACTCCACACTTCATCTCATCTGAGCTCTTCTCACCTTATCCCAGCTCCTGTCTTCTCATCTCATCTCTTCTCATATGTCACCTAAGCTTTCATGAATCACTTCCCAGTACTACTACTAAGGAAGTTGCATGCGCCGTGCGCCAGCCAGGCCCGTGCGTGCGTGCTTTGTGCGAAGCTGTTGCAGTGTTGCTGTCCAAGAACATGACCTGCGCGCGACCCCGGTAGAATGCAAACACTTTCCTCACACTTCACATTGCACCAAAATTGAGAAAATCTGCTGACAAATCACTTTCGCAGCCTTGATGCAGCCATTCCAATACGATTTACGATCTTCAGCTGCAAAAGACAATAGTATTACGCATGCAGCCGCTGCACCAAGCAACCTTGACGCAGCCACTACAATGCGATCTGCAGAGACTGAGTTGCAAAACACAATAGAACTACGTGCAATGGCGTCGGAAATTGCAGCTCCAAAACCGGATCTCGACGCCAAAGCGACAAAAAGACGATTTTGAAGCACTTTTTAAAAGGATTTTAAAAGGAAAATTATTAGCGCCAAAATTGAGAAAATCTGCTGACAATTCACTTTCGCAGCCTTGATGCAGCCATTCCAATACGATTTACGATCTTCAGCTGCAAAAGACAATAGTATTACGCATGCAGCCGCTGCACCAAGCAACCTTGACGCAGCCACTACAATGCGATCTGCAGAGACTGAGTTGCAAAACACAATAGAACTACGTGCAATGGCGTCGGAAATTGCAGCTCCAAAACCGGATCTCGACGCCAAAGCGACAAAAAGACGATTTTGAAGCACTTTTTAAAAGGAATTTTAAAAGGAAAATTATTAGCGCCAAAATTGAGAAAATCTGCTGACAAATCACTTTCGCAGCCTTGATGCAGCCGTTCCAATACGATTTACGATCTTCAGCTGCAAAAGACAATAGTATTACGCATGCAGCCGCAGCACCGAGCAACCTTGACGCAGCCACTACAATGCGTTTCGCAGCATCCCGTAGCAAACCTGCACCTATCTACGCACGTGGCAACATCAAATGACGACAATGAAGCAGCCATTCCAATGCAATCTGCAACTAGAGATTCAAGAACCGCATGGAACTACGCACACAGACACAACCACTCGTTGCAAAACACATAGGAGGAACAATTCGCGCACAAAACGACCGCAGCCGCACCCGTCGCACACACGAGGTACCTTTCATCGCCGGCTGCAGCCACTTTACACGGAAAAACACAAGGTTTCGTGCTCCGGCTTCCTCCCCAAAACATAGCCCATGCAACATTCATGCAGCCATTACAATGCGTTTCGCAGCATCCCGTGGCAAACCCGCACCTATCTACGCACGTGGCAACATCAAATGACGACAATGAAGCAGCCATTCCAATGCAATTTGCAACCAGAGATTCAAGAACCGCCTAGAACTACGCACACAGACACAACGACTCGTTGCAAAACACATGAGGAACAATTCGCGCACAAAACGACCGCAGCCGCACCCGTCGCACAGACGAGGTACCTTTCATCGTCGGCTGCAGCCACTTTACACGGAAAAACACAAGGTTTGGTGCTCCGGCGTCCTCCCCAAAACATAGCCCATGCAACATTCATTGATGCAGCCATTACAATGCGTTTCGCAACATCCCGTGGCAAACCCGCACCTATCTACGCACGTGGCAACATCAAATGACGACAATGAAGCAGCCATTCCAATGCAATCTGCAACCAGAGATTCAAGAACCGCATAGAACTACGCACACAGACACAACCACTCGTTGCAAAACACATAGGAGGAACAATTCGCGCACAAAACGACCGCAGCCGCACCCGTCGCACAAACGAGGTACCTTTCATCGTCGGCTGCAGCCACTTTACACGGAAAAACACAAGGTTTGGTGCTCCGGCTTCCTCCCCAAAACATAGCCCATGCAACATTCATGCAGCCATTACAATGCGTTTCGCAACATCCCGTGGCAAACCCGCACCTATCTACGCACGTGGCAACATCAAATGACGACAATGAAGCAGCCATTCCAATGCAATCTGCAACCAGAGATTCAAGAACCGCATAGAACTACGCACACAGACACAACCACTCGTTGCAAAACACATAGGAGGAACAATTCGCGCACAAAACGACCGCAGCCGCACCCGTCGCACAGACGAGGTACCTTTCATCGTCGGCTGCAGCCACTTTACACGGAAAAACACAAGGTTTGGTGCTCCAGCTTCCTCCCCAAAACATAGCCCATGCAACATTCATGCAGCCATTACAATGCGTTTCGCAGCATCCCGTGGCAAACCCGCACCTATCTACGCACGTGGCAACATCAAATGACGACAATGAAGCAGCCATTCCAATGCAATCTGCAACCAGAGATTCAAGAACCGCATAGAACTACGCACAGAGGACACAACCACTCGTTGCAAAACACATAGGAGGAACAATTCGCGCACAAAACGACCGCAGCCGCACCCGTCGCACACACGAGGTACCTTTCATCGCCGGCTGCAGCCACTTTACACGGAAAAACACAAGGTTTCGTGCTCCGGCTTCCTCCCCAAAACAAAGCCCATGCAACATTCATGCAGCCATTCCAATGCGATCTGCAACCACAACTTCAAGAAAAGCCACTTTACACGGAAAAACACAAGGTTTCGTGCTCCGGCTTCCTCCCCAACTCACCACTTCCCTTCCTCACCGCTTCCCATCGTCACCACTTCCCTTCCTCACCACTTCCCATCGTCCCCACCTCCCTTCCTCACCATTCCCCTTCATCATCACTTCCCTTCGTCACCACTTCCCATCGTCACCACTTCCCTTCGTCACCACTTCCCTTCGTCACCACTTCCCTTCGTCACCACTTCCCATCGTCACCACTTCCCTTCGTCACCACTTCCCTTCGTCACCACTTCCCTTCTTCACCACTTCCCTTCGTCACCACTTCCCTTCGTCACCACTTCCCTTCGTCACCACCCGTCATTATCACCACCCTTCATCAAAGTCAATTCCACTGCTTCTTATTCTTTTGTTATGTTATGTTATGTATTGTTATGTGATCTACCACCCTGCATCATTTCAAGTCGCAGAATTCTATTTGTCCGTAACACGGAAGTATTGCTTCCCAACTTCCTTTGACAACTTTGGGTGTGAGCAACTTGTAACTAATATACTTGATTTATATAAATATATTACTGCATAAAATTTAAAAAGAGAGAGAGAGATATGTATATATATAATATATAAATCGAAACGTGTCCTGCGTAGATCATGGGGGGAGGGTATATGTATATTGTTCCTCTATACCAAGCTACTCTCCAACTACAGTAAATCAAAAAGATACAGAAGTCCATAGGCTCCGGAAAATGGGACCATCTCTGAAGCTTGGATTTGCTGAAGGGCGCCCGGAAAAACAACTTTCCTTCAAGTGGGCTCCACCAAGTAACATATTCCTGACATTCTATAGGACATATGCAATATTCTTAGAACTCAAAAATGTGTTCTGACATTTTCTTTCACAGATAGTCTAGCATTTTATCTAACACGTCATCTGGCATTCAGAGGTTTTTTCTGACATGTAATCTGGTCTTCTATCCGATGCTTTATTTTTCTTGCAGTCTATCTGATATTTTACCAAATGTATGTTCTGACAAACATCTTCAAAACTGGCATTTTGAGTTCTTGGGCGTCCCGTGTTTCGCTGGATCTGCGGGATTTTGCTAAGGCGCTGAAATCCAATCCACATGAAGCTCTGCTACGAAGGAGAGGAGGCCGCCCGTAGCCAGCTTCCTTGGAGAGAAATGACCACCGTAGAACTTAGTAGATTACAACAAGAAAAACAATATCCTGCAAATAAAAAAGAATTACCTGTAATCTATTTTTTTTTTGCGTCGTAATCATTCACAACCTACATTGTAAATTACAACCAACAAATTGCAACCATATGTAAAAAACATTACAATAGGATAACACTTTGTGCTACCAATATCTGGGCAAAACCAAAAATGAATGGATTCTTTTTCGGGACTTCTTGGCCAATAGGATCCCCATCCCCATACTACTCCCATGGTCGAAACCCCAATAGTATGGACAGATTATGGGAATGAATGTCCCATTGTCCCATCATTGGGGGCCCCTAAAAATTCCATGGACCGTGTTAAAATAGGGAAAAAAACCCGAAAAAAACATAAAGATCTGGACAAGGGATTGATATACCCACAATTTTTAAGTGCAGCTGAAGCATCTGCAAAAGGGCTGTAACAGGCATACTTCGCATTTGACCCTAAGAAAATATGAATTCAACCAAAACATGATGGACATGGGTTTGCCCAAGAAATGAAACTGACCCCAAAACTGCCATTTGTGCGGGGAACATGATGATAATCCTTTCGAAGTGCGCACAAACCCGCGAAGTTTAAACATGAGGTTTTGCACTGCCGACATGGATTTGTTACAGTAAAATTACTTTACTTCGTGTGATCCCCACCATGACATTTATACATTTTGTTACTGGCAAATCTTCTGGCATTCTATCTGACATTTTATCTGGCATTCTATCTGGCATACCTTCTGGCATTCTGTCTGGCATATCTTCTGGCATTCTATCTGGCATTCTATCTGGCATATCTTCTGGCATTCTATCTGACATTACATCTGGCATATCTTCTGGCAATCTATCTGGCCGTTGAGGTCCAGCGGTGCACACTGAGCTGGGCAGGTCCCAGGTTGAGGTCCAGCGGTGCACACTGAGCTGGGCAGGTCCCCGGTTGAGGTCCAGCGGTGCACACTGAGCTGGGCAGGTCCCCGGTTGAGGTCCAGCGGTGCACACTGAGCTGGGCAGGTCCCCGGTTGAGGTCCAGCGGTGCACACTGAGCTGGGCTGCTCCCAGGTTGAGGTCCAGCAGTGCACACTGAGCTGGGCAGCTCCCAGGTTGAGGTCCAGCAGTGCACACTGAGCTGGGCAGCTCGCAGGTTGAGGTCCAGCTGTGCACACTGAGCTGGGAAGTTGGCAAAGAGCTTGGCGAAGAGTTGGCAAGGCGGAAGTGGACATGGAAGTGGAGGCAGAGGTGGTGGAGGAGAAACTGGAGGAGGAGGCGGAGGAGGAGGAGAAGGAGGAGGAGGAGGACGAGGAGAAGGCGGAGGAGGAGCAGGCAGTGGAGGACAGCTAGCGAGGAGGAGAAGAACAGCCCTGATAAAATCTAACAACCCTCACCTGGCAGGTGGGGAAAAAATCATCTGGTTCCTTTCATGGCGTTGCTTGGTTTGTCAACAATGTGTTAAACCCAATAATGAGCCTACAATGTGGGGATGGTTCATACCGGGATGCTTTATTTACTGTAGGGTCTACCGCGTTTGAGATACATAATATGGGGGTTCAATGATGGAAAGTCGGATTCTCGCAAACAACCACGTGTTCATCCAAGAATATACTTGGGATAAGCTTCCCCACTCACATTTTTTTCACCATCAGCGTTCCAAACATTGGTGAGTCATCTCTGTCTGAATTATTCTGAATTCTCATGTAAGTATAGCAATTGCATAAACCACCCATATAAATTGATGGTTCCTGTCACACATTTACAATGATTTTGGGGATTGTTTACGATTGCTTTGGCCACATTGTAATAATTCCCAAGCCAGCCATGACAATTTTTGGAAGGTCAGTGAGGTCGGTAAAACCTAGCCATTTGCAAATATTTGCGCTGTGCACTTACATAACTATCGATATACGTGTGTATATTTATAATACTGTATACATATAGTACATACCCATAGAACCCCATAGAATGAATCATCAACCACCATGGGGGTGAGGTATTGCCTTTTGTAATGCTTTCCTCACGCTCAGCTTGTCCCAGCTTCAAGTTGTTGGAAGTCAGCGCCTTCTTCATTGAAGCTGTTGAAAAGGCCGCCGCGATGCTGTAGGTGATGCCTGGAAGACCATAAAACTTCAGCCAGTTGTGATGGGACAACGTGGTAAGATTTGAAAGCCTTTGGAGGTGTCTGGAAACGGGCTACGTCCCGAAACGGCAATTTTAATAGAGATGCAGTAGTTGAGGATCCACAAGTAGATTTAGGGCACAGTATATTTTCAGACCAACCCGACCATTTGAAGCATCGTTCAGATCACCATGGGTTGGACCCTCAGACTTGGATAGAAGAAAACCTTTTCCCCCATGTCAGAGAGGTGCATTGAAATTTTCAATGTTTCCAGCTTGAACATCTATTTCTGCCATGCGCTATGTCGTGAAAGCACCGCGGGCGAAAACCTTGGAGCTCCATTGGGCGAAAAACAAGTGTTTCAGGTACCAACAAGCACCTGAAACAGGATGACATATGATGATACATGGTATGCCCACACACCAACCAAGCTGAATAGCCACACGTAAGGCTACCAGACATGGTGATGCGGCGCACCAGGGCAACTGGCTTTTAAGGGCTTCTGCCCCATGATCAACAACTCCCCCCTCTTCGGTAGGGGTGTGCCACACAGCTGCCAAAGCAACCAGTTGAGCACAGGATGCTTCCAACGACTCATGGCTCGAGGGTATGCGCCACCAGGCCCCCGCATTAGGCGCTCATGGTCTAGAGATGGTCCCCCTGCTTTTGCAAGGATGGAACCACAGGGCTACCTTGAAGACGACCTCCGTTTACACCAACTTTGATGATGCAGGGCAGGGCGTTCCAATAGCACCCCTTTGTGACTCAACTGTCAAGCTGAGGTTGTTAACCAGCTAGTCCCAGGTACCACACAACCTCAATGGTACTGGACTAATGTGCAACCAAAGCGGAGGCACAAGCCTATTTTTGCAGCGCTTGAGCCAAATATAGTTGCAAAAGCACAATTATACAATGCAACATGGCACGTACAAGCTATACATGAGTAGGGGCAGGTTTTACCTGTATTCTCTCCTCAACTAAAAACCCTTGACATTGGAGTGCGGCGTGCGCCGCTCAAATGGATAAAATGGATACCGGCAGAGACGTTTCCAGTAGGTTTCCCTTCCCGATGATTTTTTTAGTGCTAAAATTGGGCATTTGGATGCAGCTCATGAAGACTAACATGAAACACTCCAACATGGCCTTGGACGATTAGTATTGTCCCGTTGAAAATTCCCACGTCTGAGGTTTCATTCTGCTTTCTGAGCTCGTTGAATCTCAGCACTTTGCTGTCAGGTGAGTTACTCTCAACCACCGTAGAACGCAGGCCCGCGTGTGAAGGACAATGGACAGGCCCACAAGCCACCGCCAAAACGGTTTCGCATAGAAGTAGGAAGCCTTTCCAGGGTTTCAAATTGGGCCCCTAAAAACAGAACCACACATCAAATCGCGTCAACCAGAATGATAGTTCAAAGTTCAAAGGGTCGTATTATATAATATATCTAGCTTTGAGTTCCAGTTTCATGGATGGAGCCATCTTCATGGCACTTTGAAAATGACACCATGGCAAAGACCAAATGCTGGTTGGTTATTTCAAGCCATCCAAATCAAGTTCATCAAACATGTTATCGGCGATTTTCCTACATACGTGTTGGTTGCACCCAAAAAACTGTAATCAAACATAGCAAAAAGAACCCTTCACACAAAACGGCTCAAGCTGTAATAAAGATGATTTTCTCAATCTCTATATTTTTTTGCCGGGTTTTGCTACTGGAGAGTAACGCCATTGTCACACGCAAAGTGAATAGCCGAAACTCGATTGCAGGCTGGGATTTGATTTTTTCATTTACATTCAATTTAGCAATTTGTAGTGCTGGCTCCTCAAAAGGGCTCAAAATGGGGGATCTCCAATACCAGAATTTTGGATGGTTTGGGGGTAAACCAATCTTAGGACACCCCCATATATATATATATGTATTTGTTTACCAAAAATGCCATAACTCACCAGAACTCTTCGCAGCTCCATATGAGCCCGTCAAAATTAAAGGATTTACATCTTAGTAGTTGCCATTATCGGTTATCTTTTTTTTGGGGGGGCATGTCGCATTCCAGTGTTTTGTGTCATTATCCCTGTGGGGGGGGCATATCGCTTTATAATGTTTCGTGCGCATCCCTAACAAAAAACTCATGCAATACTAAAATGGTCTTCAGCCATTTTGACAGTGACTCATGTGGATCCAGCCTATGGCAAAGTAAAGGAAGCGAGGCATGGCGAGAATCAGTTTGGATCCCACGTCCAGTGGCAGTGGCCCTGGCACATCGAGAAGCGCCGAGGATTCACTCAGTGATCCCAGGATGTGTGTCTGCGACCGTTCGTTCATGTAACGTAATTTCCTGGCCCGAGCCACGGCAAGGAAACCGACTCAGAAAGTGCCGGTTAAAAATTTGACGATCATACCATGGAAGACGCGATGGAAACACAAAAAGTCAACTGGAAAATAACTTTGTTTTTTTCCCCACCTGCCAGGTGAGGGCCTCTAGATTTTAACAAAGGTGCAACTCACACCTCCTCCTCCTCCTCCTCCTCTCCTCTTCTCCTCCGCCAGCTCCTTCTGCCAGCTTGTTGTCACTGTGGGCACCAACGCGCCCGGAGATCACACCAAGTGCCAGAAGCTCATGGCGAGCTGTAACGCGGTCTGGGCACGCACGGGCCTGAACACTATTGCGAGCTCCAGATCAGCCTGGGCACGCACGGGCCCGAACACATGCCAGAGAGCATGTCAAATAGAATGCTACAAGTAGACAGGCCGCAGGATAGAATGCCAGATAGAATGCCAAATAAAATAATTATCAGAATATATGTTAGATAGAATGCCAGAAAGGATGCCTGATAGAATGTCAGGTAAATGCCAAAAAGAATGCCAAATATACTGTCAGAATATATGCCAGATAGAATGTCACTTGGTCGGTGGGGATCACTTGGAGAAGGTTATTTTGGAAAAATGTCCCGGATCATGGTGGAAACGTGCAGAAACACTGACAAACGAATAAACAACTCAATAGCTTCGTCGACGTTGACGAACGAGGAGAGGTAGTCTTGGGCTGCTGCGGTTCTTTTTCTCTTTCAGAAACCATCACCTGCCGGGAGCTTGGGAACTGGCGAAATATCAAAAGCTTTGGCTCGTTGCTGGATAGGGGTTCCCGTATTGAGATTCCAAAATCAACCCAATAGAGCCCAAAACATGTACGTCATGCTGAACCCCACGATCAATATCAACATTTATGTCATTCAAATTGCTGATCATCTCCTTAGATATCCCTAGGCCCTAGATTATTTTGAGCTATAGCCAACAAACATTGTAGGTATAAACATAAGAGTGCGGATCGATTCACCCTAGCGCCCTGCTTGTTACACCACTTCATAGCTGCTGTTAACAAATTGTTCTTGCCTACGGGTTGAAACCGAACCAGCGTTTTGTTTGTTTTAGTTTTTGTCATTTTCTAACGTCAGGTGGGAGGGGGGCTTTGCTTTTTTTTGCGAGGGGGGCGGGGGGCAATAACGTTCGTGTTTTTGTCGTAACTTGCCATGAGACGCTTTCTTCCATGGCAATGGCAGCTTGCAGCCAAAACTGGCCGCTACTTAGCTCACATGTTATGCCTCTCCGGGAAAAGTCTGTGGTGATGTGTGTGGTTTAGGAGCTCTTTCCGAAAGGGCCAAAAATTGAAACGTTGAATGTAGCACAAACATGAAAATTTCCCTGGTGAATTTTTAGAACTTATTGGAATTCAGTCAGAAGTGCAAAAGCCAGGACGCGCAGATTTGGATGTCCATCATTTCTTGAACATGCATGAAAACGCGGCTTCAATTTCCAACCCCTTAGGTTGTTCCTCCATGCATATGGTCCCACAATTAGCCAACCCTATCCTGTCAAATCGGGAGTTCCAAGACCACTTTCCTTTCCTCTGAAAACTGGCCATACTCAAGGCCAAACTGTTAAGTTGAGACATTAAAAATCCCTTAGTTTGTTCTGTGCCAAGCAATCTTTGAATGACATCGAAATCAGCTGAGGGTCGGGGGGATAGCTGCAAGGAAAAATTGAAAAATTATATGAACCTATTGCCTTTCTTCAGAATATGGTTTCCCATATATCTTCATTATCTTCCTTGAAACTCATTCCGGGACAGTAGTGTCGAGAAAGGCCCTGTTCCCACAGAACCTAAATTCGTGGCTAGATCGGCATGTTTGTGCGTAGATACATGTAGTATTTAGTATGATCGTTCCATATACCTGGTATATCTTAATTTCGCTGGTCGAAACCCTACCTTTAGCTTTTGCAAGTTTGAACCTCTGATCGTTAGATGCTAAAGTCGCACTTTTCTTGATTATAAAATTCTGTGGCTGGGAAGCTCTTAGTAGCTCTTTGGTTCCCCATTGGATAACAAATAATACCCATAGCTTAGTCCACCGCTCCCTCCATTCACAACTGGATAGTCCAATATCCCATGAGTATCCGTTTTTTGGTTAAAACATAAAATCACTGGTATTGTTGTTTTATATTTAAATCGTCTATGAATATATGAATGTCCTCAAGTTTGATGATGGTTGATGGTTATTGATGGTTATTGATGGTTATTGATTGTTATTGATGGTTGTTGATGGTGATAATTAAAATCCTGTACCACACGCCGCCGACACAATAGAGAAACATGGTTTCATTGCTTTTGTAATTTGATAACTTAAAATCATAACCCCTCATTGACTGGCAAAATCCCTGTTGATGGTTATAATCCCTCATTTGCCAATGAAACACCATTGTTGAATATCCTTTTTGATGGTTATCATTTAACATCCCCCATTCTCTGCCAGAACTCACCAGTTTTTGTTATGCTGGTGCCACTGAGGAGCCTCCCGGTTGGCCAAATAAGGCGACGACGGTGACGCTGGCAGGACCCCAGGCATAGCTTTCGAATGCTCCAGATCCTACCAAAAACTTTTCTTGATTTCGCTGCGAAAATCGAGGTTTGAAACATTTCTCAATCTTGGACAACTGCAAATTTCATGGTTTGTAGTTGGCTAATAGAAATCCCGATATACCAATAGTACCGCACAAGGCGGTGGCGGAAGTTTCAAAGAGAAGATACTATAGGAGAGGTGAGTTGTTGTCATGCATGGATGGCAGGGCGAATCCACTGCTGGACAGAAAGGTGGTCGGAGTTAAGTTTTTTTTTGGAGTGTTTGCAATGGTTGCAGTGGTCACCTCACCCACAATTGCTGGATGTAGTGTGGTGTAGCGCAGTTGTAGTTGTAATTCTAGTGTAGTGGAGTTGTAGCTGTAGTGTAGTGTACTGCAGTGTAGTTGTAGTTGTAGTTGTAGCTGTAGTTGTAGTGTGGCGTAATGTAAATAGTGTAGTCAAGCGTGGTGTAGCGCAATGTAGTGTAGTTTAGTGACAGTTGTAGTTGTAGTGTAATGTATTTAGTGTATCGTAATGCGGCATAGTATATTTGCATTTGCATTGTATTTGTTAGCTGTAGTAATAATGTAATGTAGCTGTAGTTGTGGTTGCAGTTGTCTATCTATCTATCTGGCTAGCTGCAGGCTTGAAAACGAAGCTACTCTGTGAGACGTCCTCTATTTTCCAAGTTGACAGCATCAAAAGCGAAACAAGTCTGCGAGACTTCCTTCAAGAATGGAAAAGTTGAGAGCTGACGAACCTTCACAGCCGACGCCTTGGACGCCGACCCTGCAACAACTGTGGCCACAGTTGCCTTGGCTGCCGCGGTGGAACTTGACAACCCCCCTGGTGCACTACCCGTTGGATTTGGAGCACTCTTTGTGGCTGCTGCTTTGGGAGCAGCTTTCGGGTGATGATAGAAGGGGCATGAGCTTCTGCTGTTGCATGTTCCTTTAGGCCAAAAGATACTAGGTACGCTAGGCGCATCAGGCTTCGGCTTTGCCTTGGCCTTTCCATCACCCTTGGAACCCTTTCCTTTGGAATCTGGCTTTGCCGTATCATCTTGGCCTTTGCCTTTGGATGAACCCTTTGAGTCACTGGTTGGTTTGGGTTTCGGCTTCGCCTTTGGCTTAGCCTTGGCAGCTGCAGCAGTTTCTGCCGCTTCCCCACCTTCACCTACATTACCTTTCTTAGGCTTTGTCTTTGCCTGAGCCTGTGTCTGCAACGCTGCTCTGATTGCCTCTGCCAGTCCAACATCGAACATGAGATGTGTGCCTTGAATCCGTTATCCTATCGATATTCCCCCGCATCAAGCGAACTTTTAACCTTGAGTACAGCGATGTGTACCGAGTCTGTTCTGATGGTTGCAAGTCAGGAGGAATCGAATTAAGGACAAATTCAACAAGATAAACAAAAGTGCGAAAACCCTCAGGTGTGTATGAACCAATGTCAGGCTCTAACAAGCTTTGCTTTGTCAGATTCGCACCCTGACTCAGGTCCAAAAAAGAATCTCCGGGCTACCATGTTGAGCAAAACTCTCCTAAGTGGTGCACGTCCACGCAATTGTACCTTTTCGGCACATGCCTGGAACTGAAGGCCCAATTCCCCCCGGCGTCTGGGATCCATCAACTGACTGGAAAGATAAGCATCAAGCCTTGGCATTTCCAATGAAGTTTGCTCCAAGTATTCCACCGTTCCTTCTGCAGAGAAACTCTCCAATAACCATGCCATGATGCTATTCTCTCCAATTTTGTCCATTGAAGAAGCCTTGGTAAAAAAGGAAGTGTGCCATCCGCGGAACTGCGCTGCGTCACTTGGCAATGTTGGCACAGTGATCTATTGAAGATTTTTGCTCTTGTAAACGCCGATCCAGCCCCTATACAGATCTTTGTCCCCTGGAAATCCCCAGCGTTAGAGGGCCACCACTACCACCACCAGGACTGCCAGGCCTCGAAGGGATTCCTTGGTGCTACCTGGTGACCCACCTTTCCTCCCCTGTCTAGAGTCGCGTGAAGAAGAAGAACAAGAAGATGATGATGATGATGATGATGATGATGAGGCGAACCCGGCGGTCCTGTCGGGCGTGGATGGACATAACCTGCACATGCTGATTGACGATTGACTGGGCGAAACCACTGCCGAACTTGCTGGTAATTTAATCTCAATGGATGACCGTTGCCGCTGAGCTTCGTTCAAACCAAATTGATCACGGTTAGGAGTAGAAACTGGTGTGGAAATGTCAAACCTTGCAGGTGCAGCAATCGGGGTCGCAGCATTAATCAAGGATCACCTATTTTAATAAAAACTGAACGAATGACACTGCTTAGCAAAATGCTGTACTCGAGGATTATGCTTTGCAAATCAAAGAGGGTCAAACAACAGTTAGACTTTGGGTTTCAATTTGGGGATGCACCCGAAAGTGCGAAACATCCAGCACACGCTCAGCTTCAGCAAGTTCAACCTATTTCACCGCTCGGCTGGAACAAAGTTCAACAAGAAGGAGACACCCCTCGTGCCGTTCTGAAGCAGGTGTGAATGACAATATTCTATACAACTTGGCTCAACTAGGCTTTGCTAAGGATCACAAGTTGCAAATGACTAGGTTGACTCTTTCGGTTGATGTGAACCACACAACACCTGCAACAGCAAGCTATGGTACACGTTGGTTCAGAGTGCTGAGATGAATTTTCACAGCTGATGGAGGATGCACCCTGGTCAGTGCAAGCACTCCACTATTGATTTCACTGCTACAGCCAAACTCGAAAAAAGTTGATCAAATCCAATCCTTGCAGAACGTTCATACACCACGTCCTCAACCCGCCTTTTCTTTGGAATTGCAATCCCGAGCGGGTGAATGAATGGCCAAGCAAGAGGTGTCTGCCAATAAAGAGACAGTTCGGACAGTATTTCTGGGGAATCGTCCACGTGGAACACTCGAGCCGATGGATCATAGATTTGAGACAATGCCCTCACGAGCATGAATGGTCACAGCCAGGCTTAACTGAGAATCCCTTTCCAGAGCAAGCACACGATCACGATAGACAATGTTGCGCATGTAACTCACAACAATCATGTGCACGTCAGTGCACTGAAACTGTCTGCAGCTTACTTCTCGACAAACCTCCTGCTGAATTCGGTGAACTGTCTCTGCAATCTTGGTCTTCACAATATTCAGCAAAAAATAAGATGACCCTTGCCCAACAAAAATGTCAACACCGTCAGCTCTTGTGCTGCGAGCTCTGTCAAGGACCTGGTGCCAGTCTAGCGAGATCACGAAACCTTTCAGTTTCTCAACTCGGGATGCAGGAGCACAAATCACTCCCTCCGACGCAAGATAATCCCGATAAAAGGTGGGTGGAGGAGCTACAGAATTCTGTGATGACTGCCTCCTGTGGATGAGTGGCTTGTCCCTTGTGATCCTCACTGGCTCACGTCTGTTCGGTGGAGACTTGGGCACTGCTGAATGTGATGCTGAAGGATTGGATGGATTCGCAACCGATGTTGATGCCGAAGACAATAGAGATTCACTTGTGCATTAATCTTCCAAATCAGAGATTTCAATAGCTTCACCAAGCCCACTCTCCAGATCTGAACCTCCCCACCTCCAAAAATGGCTGGTCTCTCCTCGGGAGCCAACCCTTTTCCCCTGCCTCAGCCGATCCGGTCAGTGGAAAGTTGTCCCTGATCAAGAATCTGAGTACACACTTGAATGAAAAAATTGAGAAAGCCAAAACCCAAACCCTTCAACCGTCTTCGGTAGTTGTTACCCCCATGCTTTTGAGCACGGCTTCTCTAATATGCGTCCCTCAACTGGCGTAAACGCTCAGGAGAGATTTTCTCTTCACGATCAGGAGGTGTTCGGGCGCGGCCTCTACGCATCAACGAGATTGCCGTCGCTCTTGCAGTGAAATCCTTTTGCAATGATACAACTGGGTTTGGACCAGAAGTCACCGGTGTTCAGATCACAACACACACACACACACGTTCGCTCAACACTGGAGTCGGACAGCAATATTCGAGAGTTCTTACTATTGATGCTCAGGCTCTACACCCAAAAGTTGCTTAGCAATTATGGGGAGGTCTAGGGCACAATGCCAACTGGGCTATCTATTGGTGTTGGCTTGATGAACAACTGACGGATGCGATTCGAGTATGAGTTTCGCACATGGACACGAATCAAGGGCACACTTCAACACACTTGGTGGTTCAATCTTATGTGATGTGCATCAAGCCCTGCACTCAAGATAGCACTCACACTGAGGAATTCAAAGCTTGGCGAAATATGGAAGGAAGTTGGTATTTGCGAATGAGAGGATGCACCCTGGACAGCGCAACACTCCCCGAAGCACTCAAGCAGTCCTGGTCACTTGAAGTGCTGGCTTGCTTCACTGACTCGAACCCTGGGACAAGTAAGAGGTCGGCTTAGCCCGTTGCCGACAGTTGCTTATCACCAAAGGAAAGGGTGTGTATATGAATGTGCTAGCAACACAAGTGAATAAGCTTGGCTCGGACTTACCACAAAGCAACCAACAATTAAATATGAACCTGCGGCTGTTAACATGTTGGGTGCACTACCAACAACCTCCCAGGTAGTCACTCAATGACAAGCTCAGAATGCTGGTTTTAATCAGCGAGCTGAAACGAAATCTTGAGCCAAACAACAGTGCGAATTGCAATTGAAAGGAAAATGCAAAAGACATAAGAAAACAGCTGTCAGCATGGAGAGTGTCCACTAGTATGCTCATGATGTTTCATAACTTTTTCCAGTGAAACAGCCTTGTTTAACATCCCATATAAGTTATAAGCAAAAATATAAACATAAATTCATGTATAACCATCCGTGGCGAAGTTCTCCCAGAGTTTCATTTGGGGTCTTTCATGTCAGTGTCAGGTTTACCCAAGGGTTTATCTAGGGTTAGTTTAGGGTTCACTCAGGGTTGGTTTGGGGTTTCTTTAAGGTTTTCTTCGGGGTATTTAGGGTTTCCTCTGCTTCAGGATATACTTAGAGATGGGGTAATGTTCGGCGTTCTTGCGTGCATACTCATAAACACACAGCCACCGCGTAAAATCCAATCCTGAAGTCATATATCATCCCATTGCATTGTCCCATTGTACCCTCTTATGCCCCCAGAATCCCTCATCTTTCATGATTATATCAAGGTAGATAACACCACATTTATGTTTATTGTGTCATATAAAATCCTATTATTAGCTTAGGATACAGCAAAGATAGAAAACACAACATGCACTAACAACAACAAATATTTGTGCAGAGATGCCAGGCCCTCCCAAGTAGGACAAGACCCAATCACTTCACCCAGTCTTGGCTAGAGACCGGGACATACAACTAAGTGTAACATAGAACGAAGTTTCATCCACATATCATTAGAGTAACCACCCAAAAACATGAAAAAGTAAAGTCCAACATAAAATAGTGATACCCTCCGGTAATCAAGCGTGGCAGTGAACATCCACAACGTATAGATTGTATAGGATTGCATCGCGTATCCCATTAAAACATCTATTTAGTTCGGGGAATTCCCAGCGGCCCGCTATGTTTATCATGTTTGATGATTTGATGACACCGGAGGGTCACCTTTTCGATCATGGACCTGTAGCCTGTAACCACCAAAATATCCAGTACCTTCCAAAGAACTCCAATATCATTAACCTCTAATGCTTTGGTAGTCAAATGTGGCAATGAAAATCCTGCAAGTATAGATATTATTCATATTCTCCCTGTAAAAACGACTTCTAAATATCATTCATCGGCACCTCCAAAAGCTTCCTGATCTCATCAGTCCGTGACCCGGAAAGAAACGGGTCAAAGTCACATCCCACTAAACAAAAGCTCGATACCCCGCCGGTAATAACAGATGTGGCAAAGAACATCTCCATTTATAGACGATATCATTTTCCGATTTATAATCTCCATTTATGGGTGATTTTCCTGGGATTTTGATTCATTGATAGTGATACCAAAAAAAAACGGCTCCATTTTGATTTTCATAAAGCCTCCGTTAAACCTCTAGTTCTAAGTTTTCCCACGATTTTCCCAATATTTTCCCATGATTATACTCCACTAAAACCTCCATGTTACAGCCCAGGCGCAGGAGCATCCGGGCCCCCTGGAATCACCGAGACCTCGGCGGCCGGCCCCTGGGAAGATGGCTTGAAATCATGGGGATTTTCATCGGGGTATTTTCATTGGGATATACTTGTGAAAAAATACAGAAATACTTTAGATATCCATGATGATCTCATTATTATCTTCAACCTACATAAAACCATTAATCTAATAATATCACCCAAATCATTGGTAGCACCGCCACACCAAACGCGCGTTTCAGAAAAGTTTGTCCTTCGGGAGCGTCCGGGGAAGGGTAACATAGCTGGGAAATCCATGGAAATCTCCTTTTAAATGGAAGTTGAAATCGGAACATCCACTACTAGTTGGTGGTTTCAACCCCTCTGAAAAATATGAAAGTCAATGGGAAGGATTATACCATATATTATGGAAAATAAAACGTGTTCCAAACCACCAACCAGACTATATATAGTGGTGGATTTCCACTGCCATGTTTGATTACTGGAGGATTTTTTCGTTGGATTCTTTTTAGGGCCCTTTTTTGAATAATCTGAAGGGTCGTCCAGGACTTCACCATGCATAGAGATACTTGCGTGAGATGATACAAACAATCTGATTTTATCTACAAAGAATTATGACAAACACACTCATAGTAATGATTGCATGGAGATGTAGCGCAAGAATCTGAAGTTACCATGGATTGTAGCCATATAGAACTTTCTAAAACAACGCACCTAAGAATCTAATAGGCGTTTAGTGCCTGTGTCCCATGACTCACTGCTTCAGCAAAGCTGCCAGTGTCTTTGGAGAACCAATAGGCTCAATGGGCTTTCCCTGCTCAACCGGCGGAGGGTAAATACCAGCATCACTAGGCATGGAAGGATGATGGTCAAGCTGGCCACTCAGCTGACTTGCGACAAATTCTTCAAACCTGGCCACGGTGTGAAGATTAGAGACAGGCAACTTTGTGTTTTGATGATTCTTTTGCACATGCTTGCTCACACTCCCTCACAATAATTAACGAAAGAATGATTGAACATCTAAGAAACATCAGCCATTTGGGTGTTGCTCGAAACTGGGGGCCTGAAACCCCAAAACCACATGGCTTCCCATGGCTTCCCGATTAAATAATCAGCAACAACTCGGATGGCTTTGGGGTTCCCCCATTTTAGGAAATCCCTATTTTCACATACAATTTGACAGCCGATTGATTCTTGACTTTTACCTACATCCAGCACACAGAAGACATTGCCGCCATCGAAATGACCATGCAAAAAGAGGGTGTCTCATATAATATAATCTTTGGGGCATCTATCCACGGGACTTTGGCGGGTTGTGTTAACACACACACACACACCCGCACCCGCACACAATAATACATACGATATGTATATACATACATATATATATATGTATATGTTATGGTATGGTATGGTGTGGTGTGGTGTGGTATGGTATGGTGTGGTGTGGTATGGTATGTAATGTAATGTAATGCAATGCACATGTAATGTAATGTAATGTAGTGTAGTGTAGTGTAATGTAATGTAATGTAATGTAATGTATGTGATGTAATGTGATGTATGTGAAGTATGTGATGTATGTGATGTCCGTGATGTCTGTGATGTCTGTGATGTCTGTAATGTATGTGATGTCTGTACTGTCTGTCATGTCTGTAATGTCTGTAATGTCTGTAATGTAACCCCCTGTCAATTAAGGGTTGGGGCTGTGCAACCATTTTGTAGTGAAGAAACGGCCTGCATAGCCTCAAGCTCTACTAAATGGATGTGCATGCATGATCGAATTTCACTACTAAATGTGGGCCCCTGGTTCAGCTGAAGCGCAAAATTTGGATATATTTTCAGTGTCTTAAGACGCCAACATGACTCGACCAAACACCCTGTTCCATTTAGTAGAAGTACTCATTTGAGCACAAGTTGCGGGACCAACATCACTCGACCAAAACCCCAAAGCCATTTAGTAGAGAAATACACGGGGTCCATTTAGTAGAGAAAACAAGGGAACACCGCCTTGAGGCGGGTGTGGGTTTTCTACAATTGTGTACTTGGTGATTGAATCAAAAATCACCTTTTTACACTGTAATTTACAGTATTTTGTGCTTGTGATCTATGATGTTTTGACGTTTGCTGCAAGATGACTCAAGATGTCAAAATGCCAAAAAAAAACTTTTGCAATTCCGCAACATCTGCTTGAGGTTCAATGCATTCTTTTTTCCCTCAGTGCTCTTTCAGTCGGCATTCTTCGTTTTGAAGAGCTTGCCCAAAGTCTGGATGTATTGATGCTGGTGTGCAAATCTAAATTGCCATGATCTCACATAGATCATGAGCTTTTTATTGAGGCGTCCTCTGTGCAACGTCTTCGGTAGCGTCATCTTACAGTCGAAAGGAACGTTATCATCCCCCCCCCACCCCCCCTCCCGGTCAAGGTAGCAAGACGTCAGCAACAAAGTTGGGCAACGTGTCTTCGGTAGCGTCATCTTACAGTCGAAAGGAACGTTATCATCCCCCCCCCCCCCCCCACCCCCCCTCGCGGTCAAGGTAGCAAGACGTCAGCAACAAAGTTGGGCAAAGTGTCTTCCGTAGCGTCATCTTACAGTCGGCAAGAGCGTTAAACACGTATACTGCCAAAGAGCACAAACGTGGAAAAAACCACGCCCGCCTCGGGGCGTTGACCCCGAAAACAACATGAAACACATATGACTGATCCCATGACCATCCATTTAGATTTGGCATCGCCCCCAAAAAAGGCAACAAAAGAACCCAAGCACGAAAGGCAGCACCCGACGAGCAAGAAACACCCAAGCGAGGGATTTGGCATCGCCCCCCAAAAAAGGCAAAAAAAAACAAACACTAAAGGCAGCACCCGACGAGCAAGAAACACCCAAGCGAGGGATTTGGCATCGCCCCCAAAAAAGGCAAGGCAGCACTTGGCTAGACGGGGAAATCTTGACACATTTTGGACATTTTGGGACTACAAAATGGTGTTCCATAGCACGTAAGGGATAATGGGGCACACAAGGATGCAACAGGGCTTTGTTTCAAACAATTCTAGATAGACTGATCCCATGACCATCCATTTAGTAAGCACCCGACGAGCAAGAAACACCCAAGCGAGGGATTTGGCATCGCCCCCAAAAAAGGCCAAAAAAGAACCCCAACGCCCAACACGAAAGGCAGCACCCGACGAGCAAGAAACACCCAAGCGAGGGATTTGGCATCGCCCCCCAAAAAAGGCAACAAAAGAACCCAAGCACGAAAGGCAGCACCCGACGAGCAAGAAACACCCAAGCGAGGGATTTCGCATCGCCCCCCAAGAAACGCAAAAAAAAAACAAACACGAAAGGCAGCACCCGACGAGCAAGAAACACCCAAGCGAGGGATTTGGCATCGCCCCCAAAAAAGGCAAGGCAGCACTTGGCTAGACAGGGGAAATCTTGATAGAATTTGGACATTTTGGGACTACAAAATGGTGTTGCATAGCGCGTAAGGGCTTATAGGGCACACAAGGATGCAACAGGGCTTTGTTTGAAACAGTTCTAGATAGACTGATCCCATGACCATCCATTTAGTAGAGGCAGCACTTGGCTAGACTGGAGGCGGCATGGCAGGATACCGCAAGGATGCTATCTTTGTCCAACTTCTGTTGTTTCATATCGCGGTATACCCGATCATGTTGATTTACTTCAACCCAGGAATATCTTTGATATTCATTGGCATTCTAGAATTTATATTTATTTTTCAAGCTTCTTATTTTTTTGAGCATCTATTATCATATACTATCTGGATTTACGTGATTCATCCTGATGGACATGGATTGGCCAAACGACTATCGGGGGCAACGGAATGGGAATCTCTACTAAATGGTTTTTCAGTTTTGTCTCGTGTCATTGTGACCGTTTTATAAACTCTACTTCGCAACCTCTACTAAATGGTTCCTGTGATTTTGCAAT